ATGATTCTATGATTTTATACTAGAAGACTTGTTATAACCCCTCAGAAACAATTTTTTCCTTAAGGAACCTTAAAAATCCCAACCTACCTCTTGATATGCAGCTTCTTTTTCCCGCAGTTTCCTCTCCAGTTTTCGGCGTTCATAAGCGTCTTCCTCATCTTCTTCTCGGTCTCTCTTCTTATCTTTCTCCCGTTCTCGTTCCCTCTCCCGTTCTCGTTCCCTCTCTCGTTCCCGTTCCCTCTCTCGTTCCCGTTCCCTCTCTCGTTCCCGTTCCCGTTCTCTTTCTCTGTCTCTGCTTTTTTCTCTGAAGGAAGGAAAAAGTCCAAAGTTAAGTACAGAGCCTTCCTCTCCACTCAACCAAATTATTTAACTTCAAATGCATAATGCACTATTTATAGCATCTTGCAAATTATTCTTCTTCTCCAATTGTACAAGATGATTAGCTGATATAGCAATGGGCATAAATCGATACTTCTAATATATTCAAAAACCCATTTACCTAAAAGTAGTTGTTTGAGCACTAACCATTAAATAGTGATATTTACAGAAACTAAGCAGGAGCACATGGCAATTCTTATCAGACTGTGTTACTAGTTCTTCATAAATAAGTGACAGCTAAAACCCCCACAAATAAAGGGTATACTTAATAAATCCTTCTGGTTTACGTAGCTTGCACACAACGTGAACCCTACTGACAAGATGATTTAAAGTGAAACAGCTATTTTTTCTCTGGTGAAGGGGGAAGGGGAAAAAAGTAGCATCTGGAGCCTGACATGATTAGTCACAGTTTAAGACTGAAAGAAGAATCCCCTTGCTTTTATAAAAACAAACAAACAAAAAAAAAACCCAAACCAAACCACCACACACAACCAAACAACAAACAAACCAACGCCACATAACAAAGGAAAAGGTAAAACCTACTTAAGCTAGAAGATACCACAGACGTGAGAGAACCTCAAGTAGGAATAAAGCCACCCATGAAAAAATAAGAGATTTGAGATAAAACCAGTATGCTTAAGTCACAATTCGGTGGTTGCTTACTGTGTTTTGCAGTCCTTATGTTCCTGTGCTGTGGAGGGAATCAAGTATTCTTCCAATTTGTGTAAATACAACATTTTCTAAAATTTTGATTTCCTGTTTTTACTCTGATCTTCCAAAAGGACCATTCTCTTTTGAATGGCAGCTGATCTGCTGAACTATACACACTTAGTAAACAGCACTAGGAAAAGCTGAAGTAAATAGCAAGTCAAGCACATTTACCTTGATCTGCTCCGATCCTTGTTGCGATCTGAACTCCTTTCACGATCTCTATCACGATCTCGGTCTCGTTCGCGGTCTCTGTCTCGGTCCTTAGTTCGGTCACGATCCCTATCTCGCTCTCGTTCACGCTCCCGTTCCTTCTCCTTCTCTCGTTCACGCTCCCTCTCTCTTTCACGCTCCCTCCTTTCTCGTTCACGCTCCCGTTCCCTTTCTCTTTCTCTGCGTTCTTTTTCAATTTCCTGTCTTTCTTTCTCCTTTTTGCCTTTTTCCTCCTCCAGTTTCTAAAAACCAACAAGAGAACTTTCATAGTTAATTCTGTAGTTATAGGAACTGGTTATTCCCGGCGCAACACACAAGGCTGGTAATGGAAATACCAAAACCGCCACTGATTTTAAAATATTAAATAGGGTTTGGTGGGTATTTTTTGGAACTCGTAAGTATGAAATCAAAATGCAGCAATCACAAGACTAAGTTTCGTGCAAAAGCATAGATCTACACAGACCAGCAATCTCCAACCTTAGCAGAGTAGGGCTGGCCTCGTATTATAAGCTGACTAAACTGCACATACATAGTGCACTGCCAGTCATGATTCAGGTGGGCCACAAATTCCGTTGGCCCTATAAGCCACTTGGGTACAAGCAAAGTGAACTTCCAGCTGATAAAATTAATTCTGTTCAACTAGGAAAATATATTTCAGAGGAATGCTTACTGCGACAGTGAGTTGTTTCCCAAAAAGTCTTGGCAGACCAAAACTGTCCTATAGCAAAACTTGGATAAAGAAATTTATCCACTTACACGTGGTACATGTGGTTAAACAGAGAAGAGAGCTGCAACCTTTCCCCTTTTCCCTCCCTAAAAAAGTTCTAACAGTTCATTGGTAAGAACTGGACTCTGCAGAATGGAATCCTTAACTTCCACCACTGCAAGATGGAGAGAGTTAAAAAAAGGTTGGAAATAGCTCTTTTGAAACACAGAAACTAAAGGGTTACCTGCTACAGTTTTACTAAAAATTGTACAAAATTGCCACTTTTTTTTCAATTAGAAACAGTTCCTATGACCAGAATTCCTATAAGACAATAGAAAATACATCAACAGAATGATAGATAAATCCATCCTTGGAAGCAATTGTTATGTGTTAACTTACAGATGCTGTGCTAGGACATGGACCGCCAACACTGGATTAACCTTGCCTATAAGCTATGTTTCTGGGAGGAAGAGCAAGTACACGGTTCACAAATATACCAAATAACAACCAAATATACCAAATTTCAACCTGATGGATGCCAGAATACCACTTTTTTGAACAAATACTGAGCAGAATAAACAGGTTTATCCCCTTTGGCTCCACGTTTACCATCACTGAAATGAAATTAAAAACTGGAACAATGAAACAGCATTTTCTCTGGTTTTTTTTTTTCTTTTCTTTTCTTTTAAACAAAGCATTTAAGACAACTTTAAAAAGCAATCTTACCTGGTAAGTGTTCTTCTGCCATAGGCACAGGGACCAGAGAACCGACAAAGGATTACAGAAATAAAGCTAATTCACTAGTGATTAATGTATCCAGTGAAACTACGCTGCATTGATAGCACAATACAGGCAAACCAATGTTGGATACATTGAAATCACAAAAGGAAAAAGGGACTAAAAATGGTAGGAATTGGTAGAAAACTTATATGAAAAAACAAAACTTAGATTCTACAATATACACTGGGCTGAAAACCAATTTCTAAAGGACTGTATTTTACAGGAGCTTTACAGTGTTAAACCTCAGTACGGTCAGATGTTAAACTAGGTTGTCAACTTCTAAAAATCCAACTTACCTCAAATTTCATATACTTTTAAAGAAAAGTTTACATACTGAAGTGGTTGATACTTACAGGTTATCTTAGATGTTCCAATAGAAATTTCTTTGGTTGAACTCCTGCTTTTTTTCCACTCTCAAAAACTTTGTTCGTGGTGAGATTTCTCAAGAGTGGGGTTTTTTTGGGAGTTTTTTTGGTTTTTGTTTTTTTTTTTAATATATTCACACAAGTGTAAATATACATGGATACAAGTCTTGGTGTATTAAAATCCATTTTGTAGGTCCGCTTTCTTAAGATCCAATTGAAAAAATAAATTGCCTATTTTGTAATCAAAATCTGACCTCATCAACTTCTATCGGCCTAAATAAGAGGATCTGAAAGGGTAATGGGATGGGAACGGTATCAGATAAATTGAAGTAATGAACAGAAATGAACAGGTAGAAGAATTATAAATCTTACCTTGAGCTCTCTTCAGACTCGTCCGTGCTGTAAATGGACGCCCCCTGCAATGCTGATACCCTGACAGTCTGTGGTTATTGTTTTTTAAACTCATACCAAAAACATGCAAAGGTTCACTGTGCTCACTAGCCAGCTGCTAAAGATTCAACAGCCCCTTTTAAACATATCCAATGTACACAATGACTACTTTCAGTTGATTTTTAATGTTAAGAAACCCAAAATAGCCCCCCCAATAATACAGATTAAAGGCATTAAAATGCCCAACAGCTTCTGAAACAATGAAGCATGTTTTTTGTTTGTTTGTTTTGTTGGTTGCTTTTTTTTAAAACTTATTACTTGTTTGCATCTTAGTACCAGTGACGACTTGGGGCTCGGAACTGAACACAATTCTACTGAAGTTTCACCACTGACCAGTTTCACGTTCAATTGCTGAGCTTCTCCAGATGATTTCTTCTAGAACTTTTCCCCAGGTTTTTATCTCCAACAACTTCAGTCAAGAGAAAAACTGAATAGGTGTATATACAACAATGTGTAGTCACTTGCGTTTACATTGATACAGTTGCGTGAAAACATGGTACCATCCCAATGACTGCATGTGGTAAAGCTGAATAACACGGGCATAATTCACCTTGCTGTACCTTCAACATTTTCTTTAACGTTGATTTGGGGGTATTTTGAAATAAGTGTGCTCAAAAGAGGAGCTTGCTGATACTTCCCTAAGCCAAGGACCATTCCAGTCTTGTTGGGGAAAAAATAATACCAACTTTAAGCTAAACATTAAAATAAGAACATTACATGCATAGTTGTGCTTTACTATCCACAAGTATCATTTTCCAAAGCAGAAACATTCACAGATGCACTAGCATTAGTGGAAACTTCTGTAAGTGGGAACCCTGAGGTGGGACTTGATGTGCACAAACATTTCCAAGCCAGTTACCCCTTTGCATATTTTTCTGAGGGGGCATCCATAAGTATAATAAAAAACAGAAGCTCATACTTACATCCTATTCCATGTTACTTTCCAAGCTGTGAGTTTCATCTTGCATTAGTCACCATATGATCTCTATCATAATGGTGGGGGTCAATGAATAGATTAGCTTTATGGGAATTTACAGTTCTTCCATGCATCTAAAGTTTGGCAAGTCTGGTAACCACTGACCTAGTTTTAATCTTCCCCCACTCTTAACTTAGAACTATTAAAATAAAAGACTTAAATTTAATTCAAGTTTCAATTCTTCATAAAATCTTGGATTATGTTACAAATCTACCTACAGAAACACACTCAAGTGTATGTCTTATACTGCAGCCCCGTTTAGCCTTTAGTTATAAATATCTTGACTTAATGTATGTGTAGAAACTTAAGTTGCCTTTATTCATGTTAAAGTGAGAAGACTGCAAAACACTCAGTAGCAATCAAAGTCTTAGCATAAAGATGTTAAGGGCCACTTTAACGTGGTAGTTGTCTTTTTTTGACTGGTAAAGAACTATATGTATATTAAACCTAACATAAACATAATTTTAAGTGATATTGCAATGTAATGCTAAATTTCATAATAGTGGTTTTTCGGATTTTGAAAAAGCCTAATTTGTATCAAGTGCAAAAACAAGAATACTACCTTGTGTGTGTCTCTGAATTTACTGATCTCTCTTGATATCAGGTCTCTTTTGTCTTCCTCCATTTCTATAGCATTTATATCCTCCTAAAAAACAAGGGGGACAGGAGGAAAAGCATTAAGAGCCATCTGTACAGACATAGGAGAACAAGAGAAAAGCTGAAGGTTAGAAGTTTTCAACCAGTCTTGCAAGAGATAAATAAAGTCCTTCTGCAGTACCAAACCTGACAGTCTGATGTTAATGAGTGAAAAAAAAAAAAAAAAATCAGATGGACAAGAGTCACAAATCTGGCAACTAGCAGTAAACATAGTCATTGTCAAAGCCTACAATGTAAACGAACCTTGGTGATGAGTGGATAAGGTATCAGTGGGGCCACTGGAAATCTGCGGAAAATCTGCGGAAAAATCCACGGAGATTTTTTTTTTTAAAAATAGATTGCACACTACTCTGAAAAACAATGTTTTGTATGTTTGTACTATAAAGCAATATTGTATTGCTGTGATCTCATTTTTTTTGATTCAACAAAATTACAGAAGAACCTCGCTAATTCTCCCTTCTCTGAACTACTTAAAATACATAGTGAGGTCTCATATTAGTAAGACTTCACTGAATTACAAGTATACTACAGGATATTAGTACACTATGGTAGCATCATAAACAAGACTAAGCTACACTTGCCAATATAAATGATCAGTATATTTGCAGTGGGTATATCTTGATTTTATTTACTCGCTAATTCGCAAAATTTGGTAGATTGCACCTACTAACAGTTAGTGCGAATTAGCGAGGTTCCCCCGTGCTTGAAATTGAAAACCAGATTCCACTCACTCTCAGTTCCCCACACACATTTTCAACTCCCCCACATCAGTCATGCCTTCATCCAGAAGAACTAATAACAGACTCTGCTGCTAACACCAGCGGGAGTCTTCTTCAAACCAAGCCCTTCAGGGGACAACAGCCCCCAAGCTGGCGAGTTTCCCCGCCACCCCCCACATATATCTGCATCCATCTTCCCTTCCCCCCACCCTCCACAGTCCTTCTCTCCCCTCTCTTTTAAGGGCAAGAGCGCAACAAGCTAGGACCATCTCTTCACTCCCACCTCTATCCACACAGGCCAAAGATGGCAACTTCCAAGTTTCTTTTCCTCCTTCCCAGTACGGGAGGGATGATGGGGTGTAATTTCAACCCACAAGTGCTATGTATTTAAAAAGAGCTTATTTGTCTACTTTGCTAGCTCAGATTGGTCAAATTCTACATCATACAGAGCTAGCAGAATATCCCTCTGTCCCAGGGACACACTCAGCACCCAGCTCTTCCAAGACTGCAACCGTCTCTTACATTGTTTAACTACCTGGCATTATTCATGGCCATATAGAAATATATATGTACCCACAGGACAATACACATTGTAACAATGCTTGTAACAAAAAATACAGCTGATAGCATTAGACAGTGACTCATTTGTAAATTCTCATCCAAGAAAGCATCATCTCCCAATGGGAGGGAGAGGAAAGAAAAACCAATTCTCAGCTCAGCACTCTTATACCTCAGGTCAGCCATGGCTAACAATGTTGTGGGGAAGATACACTTGCTCCCTGAGGGAGATGTTGCTTCTTGCACCACACTTAAAACTCCATAAGCATTTGAAACTGCATTATTGCCTTGGAATAGGTACTTTGCAGAAGACTTAAGTGGGTAAAAATATTGGTCAAACAATTTTCCAATCTCTTTCATATTAGGTGCAGAATGGTAGGTGTGAAAGCCCGTTTTCCCACGGTTAGAAACTTGGCTGGAAAAGCTAAGTCTGAGTTTGCTCATTCTTATTCCCCCTTCTCCAGTTTGTTTTAATCCATAAAAAGGTCATCCACAGAAGCAGGTCTAAACCAGAACAGGGTTTTTTTGCATTACACAATATATGAAAACCAGCTGATCAAATCCAGCCAAAATTGAGACGTGCATGTAAAAATGATTTTGTAAGGCAGGAAGATTACAATATGCCTTTCATCCCTGAAGGATCCCTCCAAGGTTTGTGAAGTATACATATAAACAACTAATGAAGCACTTCCACATCTGGAGAGACAGCTGCAACCAGTTGGATCAAGGCGCACTACAAGAATGCATACTATAAGCAGAAAGAAGAAGAATTTTGTCAAAAACTACCAGAGCAAATTCCTGCTATTACAAAAGCGCCCTGGCATCTTTCAATGGAAATAGACGGTATGCAGGAACTCTTTACAGTTGTTTTTTAAGTTCTCATCTGAAAAACCCTACATGCACATATAGATTAAACTGCACTAAACTCAGTATTTCCACCTTCAGAGGGATGAAAGGTCGGTTCAATCCCGCCCAGATTCAAACCTGTTGTTCCAAGAAGTCTAGGTGCTTAGATGCCCAAACCATCCTGAAGGGATGGTGTCTATAACTGACTAGCTTTCAGCTTAAAAAAATGAAACTGCTGCTGACATCAATGCTTGTTGATTTGTTTTCTCATCAGAAGTTTAGGTTTAAAGTATTTGCACAAGGTTTGGCCACTATATAAAGGTGAGTTGAAGAAAAATCTGTTTTGTCCAAAATCAAAACACATACGTCCTCCTTCTTTTCCTTTTTCTTCTTCCTGGGGTGAGAGTCAGATTCCTGGGAGGGGGCATTGAGCTCGCTGGAATATTCTCGTATTAAGACTTCAATGGCCCCTTTAATTATCTGATCTCTTCTCTTCGTTTCCTCATCCAGTGCTTCATCGTCATCATTTGTCGTCTCTGGTCTGGAGTTCTAAGGAAAAATTGCAAAGTAACAGGAATCAACAAATTGAGAATAATATTAGTTTTATTTCAGAAGTTCACCTTTGATCACCACATTCATGCCCCTACAGCATTTACTTAAAAAAAAAAAAAAAAAACAAAAACAACAAACAAACAACCCAACAACAAAAAAAACCCCACCCAACAACCCCCCCCCAAAGCCCCCAAAACCCCACAAAAACCCAACCACCTACAAGTAGTTATCAATTGCAGTCAGATCTTTTCACACTGGCAATACCATAGGGACCACATAGTTTTACATGTGGAATGGCTGCAAAGAGCAAGTGTAGGATTGCATAATAAAATAGAACAGATAAATGGTGAATAAGGTGGTAGACAGGAAAAGAGAAAGCGCACGCACGCTCACAGAAAGGCACTATAGTCCAGCTCTTGGTCAAAATTTTCTGCCTTGTATCCTCCAGAACTTCAAGTCATTTCAACAGCAGTTCTTCAAAGCCTTCTACTTAAGTGCCATGCAATACAAATGTCTACCTATAACTTTCAAGCTGCAACTTATAATGGGAGAACTATATTAAAGAAACTGTTAGGGAAAACTCCTTGCACAGCAAACATTTTCTTATTATTTTTGATCAATTACTTTGTAGTTCCTCATCTTTTTGCCCTTTCCACCTTGTAGGGGAGGAAAGGGAACACACAAAGAAGTGCATTTCACTAAACGTTACATGAAAGGGTAGAACAATGATCTGCATACTGAGCAAGGTAGCCCACCTCTTGATCCCCTGAATCTTTTAAAAAAATGGAATCTCACCTGAGAATCCAGCTGGGTATCCCGTCAAGCGATAGGTGGTGGGTGGAGTGAGGGGGAGGGAAGGGTCTGATGGAGCAGCAACTAAGAATGAGGGGGAAGGGAGGATTCAGTTGGAGCTGAAGAGGCTGCCAGGCCAAGGAGGAGCAGGCTGAAAAGAGCTAGAAGGCAGTGACAGGGAGTGGAATTGAAGAGGTCCAGGGAGAAGAAGTGATCAGGGAGAGGAGCTAATTAGATAAAGGTTTGCTTGGTGTGTCTCTATAAGAAATTGTGTTGTAGTGTACATGTTTGATTTCTTAATAAAAAAGATTGAAGAAAAGAGTTGCAACTTTTGGATCTGAGTGGCACCAGCACACCAATGATGGTATGAAAGGAGTCGCAAGCAGTATGATTACAATACACTTCATCAATATTCTTCGGCAATTCACAGCCTTTCTTTGCACCACCGCAAACGAAAAAAAAACTTTTGGAGCTAATCTCACTCTACAGTTCAATGGAATCGGCACATACTGTTGTCTTCAAAGCCACAAACAGTACCCTCTGCTTTATTACAATCAATCCCCCAGGATTGATTATAACCCACAGGAGCTCACAGAAAACAAAATTCATGAGAGAGATGTACAAGAACTCCACTGATACTTTAAGCTTGTTTACAGTATCAGCTGTGAAACACAGTATTACAGGCGATGCCAACAGGAAACAAGGAAATATGGAATGGAAGGGGCAGTCAGACCAAACCCTTACCTAGGTTAACAGCTAGTACATTACTCCATTCAAAACCCATGAAGTTAGCACTCTGCTTTACCGAGCCATTGCATTTAATCCCATACCCTGGGTACACGGTCAAAAATGTGTCAAGTACTTCAAGTCATCATTATGCCTCTAGTTCTGGTTAAATAAAATGAAATAAAAGTACTTGTGTTCCCACAAAGGTATTTTACATACCTTTAAGAACAATTCCAAAGTGGAATTTTAAAAATTTACCTGCTACAGTGTGATTAGTTTTTTCAGTTTTCTGAACAAGAGCCTCTTCTCACTTTCATTTTATAGTTAAGAATTGTTTTAAGTACTATCTTAAGGCATATGCATAACTTAAGAGACCAAGCCCAACAACTTGATTGTGATCTGAAATATGTTATTTTAGCAAAGAAATAGATAAAATTCATTTTAATGCAAATTTGTCAGTTAAGTATCTTTGTATCTCACAAGAATTCAACGTATCAAACATCAGCAATTATTCCAGAACAGATCCTTAGCTCTAGAAAGAAATGGTACAAAACCAATTTCCCCATCTAGTAAATGTCTGTAAGGTGCCCACTGCCTGATAACTGCATCATCTACTGAATGATCTACTTCTTTCCTTGTCTTAATTTGTTCTAGAATATCATCAGTGGAGGGGAAAGAAACTCCAGTTCTCCTCAGACAGCTGATTTACAGACTCTGACAAAGTAACAATTACTTCTAGAGTTTATATGCTTTCAAGAGTTTCTAAACAAAAATGAAGCAACAGAATCATAAGGTATAGCACTTATTACTACACTTTAGAATGAATTACAGAATCAATTCTAGAGATTCAGTTGTAGCTTACAGGTAAGTTTGAATGCTGGTGAATTAAGAGCTTACCCTTCACTGCCTTTCAACATATCTTCAGACTGATTAATGTGATTCTGGCAAAATCATAAAATGAATTAAGGGCAGAGACAAGAATAGAAACTAAAACACACACTCACAGTCTGATCTAGCAAGTACTTTACATTGCCCTCCTGCCAAAATAACACAAGTCACACATTATAGACATACCCCGTTAGAAGCCTTTTTCTTTGCTTTCCATTCATCTAGCTGAGCCTTTGTCTTTGCATCAACTTTGACTAGCAGCTTCTTCTCTCCAATCTGGAGGTCATGCAGTAGTCTCAGTGCTCGTAGTGTGGATTCTGGTTCTTTGTACTCACAAAATCCAAAGGCTGAAATGGATGATTGAAATGAAAAGTAAAAGTGTTAAAGCTCTTCAGGTAACTGACTTTGTGTAAAAAAAGTGTTTTGAATCGATAAACTTGGAACTTATTTCTTTAAAACCAGGAGTACACATCATAAAAAGGTCAGAAAGATCATTCAGTTTGATATATGATATCTTTGATACAACTAACGGCCCAGTGAATAATGTGAAAGCAACACATACGCTGTAGATGCCCCATCCCTGGAAACATTCAAGGTCAGGTTGGATGGGGCTCTGAGCAACCTGATCTAGTTGAAGATGTCCCAACTCATTGCAGGGGGATTGGACTAGATGACCTTTAAAGGTCCTTTCCAACCCAAACTATTCTATGATTCTGTGATTGTGTTTATAAAGTTTTTGACACGTCTGTCTTAACTAAGGAATGCAGTCTATATGAAGACATGTCTCAGGTGGATTTGCAATTGTCTGAAGACCAAGGACATCAATCAACAGCTCATTGTTAACCTAGAGGGAGGGGTATTTCAAACTAGGCTCTTCACAACAGTTACAGAAAGTTGTAAATGAGGAAAACACCTTATGAGAGCAAAATAAACAAAGTATGATATAGAAGAAAGCTGAAGAAACTGAATTACATCTTAAAAAAGAAAAAAAACAACCTAGAGAAGATATGAAAACACTAACAGCAAAAAATAGTAACCAAAATTCTTTCCTGTATCCACTGGAGAAAGGTCACAAGAAAAAATACATCAGTTCAATTTGACGATAGGGAAGGAAAATAAATGTTACATCAGGAAAACCTCCTGAACAAAGAAGGATGATAGATAGTAATGGAAGAGACTATTAACAGTGTTGCAAATATGCTTCTTTGGAGGCTAAGTCCAAACTGGTAAATCTTTCTCAGGGATGGTCTATAAACTCCTGATTCAGTCTCAGAACAGAAAGGTCAGCAAAATTAGGCTCCCAAGACATTTTCCCATTCAACCTTTCCCAATTTTATTTTTCTCATTCTGTCTTGATTCCAAGGACAGAAAACACTAGCCCTTTACTAGGAAGTATTTAGTATTAAGTATCGTATACATTATCTTAAAATGTGAAAGTATTAAGAATAGCAATGTGTCACACATTTGAAAAGCTGCCAAGTAATAAAAACAGGAGTCTGACTAGAGATTTTGAAAAGTATGAACAATTACCTTGAAGTTTTCCAGATGCCCCTTGTACTCTCTTCCAACTCAAAACCAAGCCACATTTCTGCATTAAAGATAGATACTATTAATTAAATATTATGTTCAAAACATTACAAAAACTTAACCACTTTTTGCAAAAGATGGCATGTAAAAAGGGTAAACACTACTAAAAACAAAACATGTCTATGTTCACTGATATCTACAGCTTAAAAAAAGCTGTACTCTTCACTTACTGACTTTAAACTCAAACATAAGGGACTGCTATTTCAGTGAGTTGGACTAACTCTGCTTTTAGTTTCAATCCACTGCTTGTGGGTTATTACTTCATTCATCAGCCAGGGATGAAATTTAACAAGCAGTCCACTGTACTTACTGCTAGAAGCTGCCGTATGAGCATATCCGAGGCCTTCTCAGAAATGTTGCCTACAAAAACGGTGGTAGTGGGACCGCTGTTTTCATCGTTTTCTTTGTTCTTTAAGCCAGGATGTTCTTTTCTGGCTCCCAAATGTTTTCCAACCATAGACACTGTGGTAGGAACTAATACCTAGAAAGAGGAGGAGAGGGTGTAAAATAAAGTGTTGGTTTGGTTTGGTTTTTTTTTTTTTAATTTAAATCCCTAAGATGAAAGAGTTGTGGATGCACATGTATTTCAAAATTAAATTTTCATACGAACCTTAGTTAGGCTTACGGAGTGAGACACCAGTAAGTGGTTCAGGCTTTAACACTTTATACAACACAAAAAAGACTGCCATTTTCTGGCAAAGACAGACAGAAAAAAAAGGTGTACCTGAACACGGCTACTGGAAGGTCTCAAGGTGAGCATACAGTAACATTAGGTATTATTTCTTCTACAAATAACTAATTTGCAACACTTGAGTCACTGAAAGTTGAAATACCCTATCTAACACTGTAAAAACCAAGCTGCAAATAGAAAAGTAACTATGACTCAAAAGGCTTCAATGGACACATGACAGGTCTTAAAGCTTTCACAGAGTGAATAAACACTACTGCTTTATTTAACCAATACCCAATCCAAAGCCTCTTTCAGTTAAGGAGCAAACATTGGTAAAATAAACTGCACAGAGATAGACACGATCATCTGTTCCATTTTGCTGCACCTCTCTTTCCACCTAAGATTTAATGGTACATATGCACTGAGTCCCTCTTCTCAAAATACCCTTCTAGAAGTGTCACTTAATAAAAATTATTTTAATCAGAAAACTGAACAATGCATTTGTTCCAGTATCGTTGTCTTAAATACATCAGTTACCATGAACATCTCCTCCTGTAACAGATAACACAAACTATAAAAAAATTCAGTATTTTGGGGAGATTTCACTTACGCAAAATCATAGAAATGGTAATTCACCTTGAAGCCAAGAAGTAACCTTTATATTTTAAAGAGTGCTTTTTTCCACCCCATAAATCATAAATCTTCCTTCCAACTAGAAATTAGTAAGACAAACAAAGAGACCTTTCTCTCATACACTCTTCCATAGATGCCTATTATGTACAACTATTCCTTCCCCTGTAACATGGGGAAAGAGCTTGTTCGTAAGCTTGTCAACACACATCTTTGTGACCAACTCAGCAGTGCTGCGTGATGGCCAACAAGCTCAAAAGCAAACGTGGAATCTAACTGATCTAACCGTACTACATAGGAAGACCATGCATGACCCGAAGGCAAAGCCTGAATCATTGTATTTGAGAAAAGTACATCTTCTTGCAAGAACAGTAATCGCTTCACCTTTGTAGTTAGCAGCTCCTGCCATTACTTCAAACTTTGCCTATGTCAGAAATTAGCATAATATTTGCATAATAGTTGCATTTAAAGTGAAGCATTTCCTTTCATAGTATGAATTCTCATGGAATAGGGCAAAACAAAAATACTGTTGACATCTATTAAGTTTTACTCTCCATTTTATTTTGCTATCATCTCATCCCCATTGTAATACTTACAGTTGGAGCAGGAGCCATAATGCCCATTGGCACGGGAATCATAGGGGTCCCTGAGAAAGACAAGACATTAATATTATTCTGCCCTGTTCCGATTACTGATGAATACAAATGAACTGATCGCAGACATGATTTCCAAACCAGACAGCAATTTTGATCAAGTAAGAATTTCACAGTATCGATTACCAGTAACTCCTTAAGCATTCAAGCATAGCCTGAGTACACTAACATATCATGTGCATCCTGGTCACTTTTATTACATTACCATTTCAACTTCGTTCATCACAAATAAATCTATTTTCAAAGCACATTCAGTGCACAGTATTGTTCTAGAAGATAGCCGTGTGATGACTGAGGCAGGGAATTCCATAAATAGAGAGCAAAAGCAGCTGAAATCCTACAGATGATAATCTCATTCCTGACTTGCTCAATTCGCATAGCACAATCAATTCTGCATACAGCTTACGAATGAGGTCCTATAAAGAATGCCACCAGGCTTCATGCTATTATTTATGGAATAGCTTAATGAAGGTGGCATAGAAAACCTCAATCCAGAAGTTCCCTACCTGCTGAATACTTGACTTGGCAGTCTCTAAAACTTAATTTAAAACAATATTTAATCAGGTGAAACCATGCAATACCCTCTTTCCCACTATCAAATTCACTGGCCGCTTTAAGTAGTATCATGTGAGCCAGTATCTGATCATAATAAAGGCTGTTTATCTTTCCATGCCAGTTGCTAAAGGAGGTTAAAGATATTAAGTGAATGGATTTCAAAACTACTTGCTGGCCAGTAAAGATATTGAGACTTAAGAACAATGAAGTCAATCTCATGTTCTTCAGAGAAATACCCTCTAGGGATCCTAGATCTCTTTTTTCATTCTACAAAAAACTTTTTGTCTTTCACTCTCAATCCTTCCCTTCTCCATCTCTCGTACTGCTGTATTCACAAAATCCTAACCCACCTTCTGCAACCTACTGGACTTGTTCCCCTACTTTCTCCAGTGTTTAGTCCTGAAACAACACTTCTCCTCAGACACCCAGTCCATCTTTCTCCTCATCCACTCTGGTTTTGCTTTGATTCCATCATTTATTTTCTCCACCACTCAATCCCCTTCTTCAATCCCTTCATATTAAAGTCATACTACCACTTATCCCTCCAAACCGTTCAGAGATTCAAAAGGTGTATTGCTCTCCCATGCTCTCCTTTTCAATCCACCATGGCATCTCACAGAGTGGAGGAACTACTCCAAGTTGTGCAGCCCTGTAACTATTATAACTATAATTATCATGATGCTGAACTTGAATTTTAAAGTTACAACTCAGCAAAGATACTTGTGTTACCGCTGACACTTCTCTGAAACTATCAGCCCCATGCTCAGCAGAAGCAAAAAAAATCCACTAAAATGTTGGGCATTATCAGCAAACATACCTATTATCAAGACCACAGGCATCATTTAGTTGCTATACAAAAACCTGGTGCACCTATACCTTGACTACTGCCTACAGACCTGATTTCTGCAACCCAAGAACAACACGCAGCCTTAGAAAAGAGCAACTACACGACTGTTGTGGTTTAACCTGGCAGGCAGCCAAATACCATGCAGCTGCTCACTCACTCCGCCCCCCACCCCCCGTGGGACGGGGAGAGAATTGGAAGGGTAAGAGTGAGAAAAACTCGTGGGTTGAGATAAAGACAGTTTAATAAAACAGAAAAGGGAGAATAATAATGGTAATGATAAAATATACAAAATAAGTGATGCACAATGCAATTGCTCACCACCCACGCTGACAGATAACCAGGTAGCGATCGGTACTTCCTGGATCACGCCTACCATTCATACACTGAGCATGACGTCACATGGTATGGAATACCCCATTAGCCAGCTGAGCTGGCTGTCCTGATTATGTTCCCTCCCATCTTGTGTACCTAGCTCAGTCAGTAGGCATGGGAGTTGTCCTTGGACTAGGAGGGCACTTAGCAACAACTGAAAACATCAGTGTGATATCAACATTCTCCTCATACTAAATCCAAAACATAGCACTAGCAAGAAATTTAACCCTATCCCAGCCGAAACCAGGACAATGACTTAAGTGTTGAAGCAGCTGCTTCACTAGGAAAGATCTACACTCCGAGACTCTTCAGGTGTGGAGGTTTGCGAGGCATGGAACACGACTGAGTTGTACAAAACCACAAAACGCAACTCACCCAACTCCCACATCAGAACTGGGGCAGGAGGGAGACGCTAAGTAGGCAATGAGTTTAAAGGCAGACATGAGAAAGTAGCACTTCACACAGTCGTCAATGAACTTCTCAAATTTGGTGCAAGAGGTGACAGTAGAGATGGACAGTATTGGCAGGTTCAAAAAATACCAAAACGTTCATGAATGACAAGTCAAGAAGAAGATAAAGGAAAAATACTCTCATACTCTAACATCCCTAACACTACAGTTGTATGAGGGAACAAACTCAGAAAGCAGATAGGCGTACACGCCCACCCTAAATATCATCTTGTATTCCCACTGCCCAGACAATGCATCAGGCTGTATGAACTGCTGTTTGACCCTTCTTACACACAAACCCTAATTTTTCACATCTTAATGGTATCCAATAATCTTCAGAGATGACAAGAGTTACCAGAATCACCTCCTCATCAAATCTTCCACACTTAAGAGATGGAAATGCTAAAACTTCTTATTTTTAACAGCCATATTTTTAAGCAAAACAAAATACTTTTCCTAACTTCATTCTTACACAAGCAGACTGCTCTAGCTGAAACTTTTCAAAAAATTATAGGCTGAGCAAGGTAACTAGAACATGAAATTTTGGCATAACAGCTAGCTAAAGAGAATATTCTAAGCCACTAAAATTGTGTTTTGATGTGTGGAATAATTTCAAAGTAGACTTTCATAAAGTCACTGGCATTTTCGGCATTTTCAACTTTATTGATACACTTGTGCTAAGAAGTGAGAGATCCATATGCTCTACATGTCAAAATATGTTATCTGCACAGGTAAGCAAATAATGTTTCTAGTGTGCAGAGAAAAATTTAATTCTTGCCCAATACCAGGCTCCTCCACTCTACGTAGTTTGGATTACTAATACTGAAACAAGACTGTATTTATATAAAAAGTCAAACACAGCAAGAGAACAAAAAGATCTTTGTCATGCATGTCTAGCAGCAAATGTTCAGAGCAGAAACTTTTTTATGAGGCATTTAAAAATATTCTTCAGAAAGTTATTTTTAAAAGTATCTGGTGTTTTTCACACTAGTATATATAACTGGAGCTAGTAAAGTAAGAGGCATGGTTTTAAAATTTAACCTGAGATTTTTGATGGCAGAATGCTACCTAATCAAGAACTCTGTCTTTAGCAGAAAATAAATAATATCTCATGGATCTCAAGAAAAAAAATTTAGAAAAATTAACACAAGCAAGGATTAGCCTGATGAATGGATGTGCACAAACCACTCCTGAGTTCAGCCATCTGGTTTCTGAATGCCTTTATTGTCTACAAAACATTTGTGCACAACACAGCTTAAGACCATACAGACAGGAGTTATTTTTTGCAGCCCTTGTGATGAATTTTAAAGGGGTAATTCTCTGATGTATTCCTCTCTCCCACTCGCCCTGTGTCCAGTCACTGTTGTCTATACTGGCAACGGACAGAAAGAAGGTGGTTCTGGACCAACAAGTTAAAATCTCAACGCAAAAACCAGAGGCTGATCTTACAGATGAACAAAGAAAAAAAGGTGGGATTAATTTTGGGAAGATTAGAGGGATGAGGAACATAACAGTAAATTTGCAAGATGTGTGGAAGAAAGTATGTAAGAAGCAGAATAAAAGAAAGTGGGACTTACACAAAAGTGGAGAAAAACAATGCAAGAAGTTGGACCTTCTCTGAAAGTTACTCCTATATTTTCACAGCACACATACTCAGTGCACCCAAGTGCTTCCAAAGGCTATTACAATGGCTTATTTGAAAGGAACTGAAAAATCATAGTCTACTGTCAAAACAGTGGCTCTTAGAATACCTAACGTTAACAAAAATCACCACCTAGCTTCAGTCTTGGAAAAAAGGTCCAAGACAAAGTCCGGTATTGTCTCTAATGGTTTGATTTCTGGTCAGAAGTAAGCAGCTTTTGGTAGACCAAAAGGAGCTTGCTCACATGACATGATCTGTGGGTAAACTAGAAACTCAATTGCAATGTACACGAATCAGAGTTATTGAAATACATTAAGAGCCAGTAACTTTTGTAAATAATACAATTCAGAATAATAAAAGGAAATTTATTTCTACTACACTTCTAAATATTAACGTAACTTACCAGGAGGTACAGGTGGAGGAAAGCCAGGAAACTGTGGAGGTGGGATCCCAGGGGGAAGTGTTGGGATTCCCATAGGAGGGCGATTCAAATGAGGTGGAAAAGACATTCTTCCAGTCACAATCTGCCAAAAAGATAGAAAAGGAAACTTGTACTAGTCAGTTCCCAAACATGAATTATAAAAGCAGTGCAAATTGTAAGTGTCCATAATGATTTTAAATCTTTATATGGACATTCAACTACAAACTAAAATGATTTTTAACTCTTTTTCCCCAGTTATTCATTAAGTTACAAATGTAGTAGAAGTCGTCTTTCACAATGAAAAACAGCACTTCTAGGAAAGCATTTCAGAATGAAGTGAAAAACAAAACTATATCTTACTCCTCACAGCAATGGTTTACAAGGAGTGTGAATTAACCAGCATTTAACAGTTTGTTTAAAATAAACAGTTTCTTTAAAATAAAGCTATCTTTTGCAGTATCTGAAAATGGAAGTAATCTTGTAATACATATTCAATAAGGCAAGTAGTTCTCTTGTACAAAAAATGACCACACGCAATACAACTAAGGAACAAGAAGAGAGAAAGAACTGGGACATCCTGATGCTCAGCATCAACGGGAATTGTATTTAAGACGACACTGGGGAGATCCCCAAATTCTAGCACAGAAATAGTTAAAAGCTTGGAAGAAGGTTCACTGATCTATTTTTAACTTCCCAGTTCACACATCTTCTAGAGCTCAACTTGGACGATAGCCCATGAGCTGAGAGTCAATATGCTGCCATGGAGAGTAAAGATTGTTTTAACATCATTTGCTATTCAGATAGTTATTATGATACACGTATTACTGACCCTGTAACAGACACCACCCAATAACAAAAAACGCAAGATCGCTCTTAAGATAACTAACGAGGCAAGTATTCTTGCTTCCAGTATTATCTCAGCAACCTTACATGTTCAAATCGTCAAAAAAGGTTGGCCCTCAGTTCTAAAACAACAAAATTGGTCACCAATATTACTGCTGAGTGTGAATAGGTATATTCGCACTGCAGTGAGGAAGCACTAGAGGAACTTCAAACACACTGGGTTGTGTGGATACGAATCACAAAGACATCGTATCACAAGTGACAAGAGTCCAATTAGCTGTCTGCGCAAACATTTGCGTTTCTCAATGGACTGTACAGACTGCTTTACAACCTGCCGTACCATATTTTCACTGCAACTGTTTTCCAAACAGGCAACCACAAGTCAAAACCGAAGCAGGCGGCCTTGAGAAAAAGTGTTATGATAAGCAAAATTCTGATACATAGAACAGACCTGTAGATTATAAGATGCTTCCCCAGCTTCCTGGCACTGAGCACACAAGAAACAGGATGTGCCTTCCATACACGTACAAGAGCTAGCAGTCAATGCCAGTCTTAAATACTAGAAGGAAGGGCTAATATCAGCTCTACCATAACAGTAGGTACATTTGAAACAGCTAAAAAAAAAATTATTATAAAATTATAA